GTAGTGAGGTTGGCCCAGGATCGGACATTGTTTTGTTCTGCTGTGCATGGGGTCGCTATGAGTCGGTTCCGACTCGATGGCACCTGACAACAACAACAAACCCCTATCTTGAACAATATAGACCCTCAATGATTTGTTAGATGTATAAAAAAAAAAAAGGAAGGTTTGGCATTTATTGTTTGGTTTTGTTTGATTTTTTTTTTTTCCTAACTAAGTCAATACCTTATCTCCATATTACAGTACTTGGATCATTTAAAACTTATGTTTGATACTATTTTCAGGTTCTGTGACTCCTCCAACAGATCCTCCACCCAATGTTATGGAATCTACTCTAACTGCTCAATCTTATCCAGCCAGCAGCATTTCATCTACAAGTAAGAGTATTTGCAAACTATTTTCTTTGTATTTGCTATTATTCTTTTATTCAAGCAATATGATAATGAAAAAAATTCAGAAAGCCTGTTTGATTCATGATATTTTTATTTACCTGTGACATATAAATATATTAAGTACTGGTCTCACGGTATCAAAGAGTTAACACAGCTTACAAAGTCCTTTGAAGCTCTGCGAAATTCAGATCTATAAATATCCAGTGAGAAACTTAAATTCTATATTTATTATTAAATAGGCTAATAAGTTGACAGTCCTCTTTTACAACTCTGCTCTTAGTGAGGTGTTTAAGAAATGGGTTGTAAATGGGAATCCTGTGGACCAGAGGTAGTAAGATAGTTTTTCATTTAATTTGTTCTCATTCATGCCTATTTTGACAAAGTTCATGGATAAGGACTATGAATTCAGCTCTCCTTATTATTGCATTACTAACAGTGGAGGCAGTCTGTAACTATGGCAAAGGAATAGCATTGACTCTTAAAAGTTGACATTGATGGAAACAAACCATAAATCCCCATATCCATGACCTTAGTGTCTAACAAAGAACCATAGCAACTTTCTACAATATAATACAAAAAATAAGGTAATATGCTATGTAAAGAAAGGTATGATTTTCATATCTATTTTAGCTCAATGACAATTAAAAATGGAGTTTACAAAAGCGCTTGATAAGAATGTACAATTCCTTTGATCTATAGCCTTCGACCTATTCCATGTAGTCACTCTTGGCGATTGCTAATTCTCAAGAAATGTAGCATGTGATAGAGTGAAAGATGCCACAGATCAGAGTGTTTGCACTCATCAGTTTTCTTATTCTTAATGTTTTGTATTTTTTGTGTGTGATGTTTCTCTTTCATTTCCAACTCATCATTCTGCTATCAATTGGAATAGAATATGGCATTCTCCATCCAACAAACATAAGGTCAATCAATAATTATAGCTGTATCTCTATAAACCCGTTGCCATTAATTTGGTTCCAACTCATAGCAATTCTATAGGCCAGAAGTATCCTATAGGTTTATGGAAGCAGACTGCCACAACTTTCTCCTGTGGAGTAACTAGTAGGTAAATCTTTATGGACCTTTGTCGATTCATTATCTATTGCTACAAGAGAGCCTCAAAACTTTGAATCTTAAAAATTGTATGCCGTCTCACATGGTTTCTGGGGAATCAGAAATCCAGGAGCATCTGTGGTTCTGGTTCTGGTTTTTTCATATAAAGTTTTAGTCAAACTGACATCTGGAGTTTCAGTGATCTAAAGACTTGACTAGGGCTAAAACTGTCTACTTCCAGGCTCAAATATGTTTGCAGTAGAAGTCAGGGCCTCGCCACATTGATAGATGGTTTCCCCTAGGCCGAGTAATCCAAAAGACAGAGTGACCAAGGCAAAGTCACAGTGGCTTTTTATGACCTTATCTCCAAAGTTGCACCATAACTTCCATTTTATTTCATTTGTTAAGAACAAGTCATTAAGACTATTTTCTACCCAAATGGAGGGGAATTCATTTCCATTTTTGAATGGAAGTATATCAGAGCATTAAAGATAAATTAAAACCACCATACTCTGCCATTTAGATATTAAATTCATATAAAATAGAAAAGAGTTAGATCTTGGACTCCTGGTATGGTACTGTAGGATAAACACTGGACTGCTAATTGCAAGGTCAGCAGTCAAACCCACCAGCTACTCTCAGGAAGCCTATAGAGAATCACTGAGTCAGAACCAACTCAACAGCACACCACCACAACAACAATATAAGGGAAAATAAATTACAGTCAAGTCAATATATTTATTAAACTAAACAGAAAATAGCCTAAGTGAGTTACTGTTCCACTGTTTAAGGTGGTATATTTGGGATGTTTCTAGAAAACTGTCTTAGTCTGGGTACTCTAGAGAAACATGCCAGTGAAGCTTCGATATAGATATAGATATCTTGTTGTTATTGCTGTTATTAAGTGTTGTTGAATCGATTCCAACTCATAGCAAACCCTTAAGCTTCAGTGCTTTATCCAACAGCACCTCACCAGGACTCCATGTATCTATATCTGAATCCTGATGTGATGCTATAGGATAAGAACAGGACTACATGAGTCAAAACCGACTAGATGACACTTAATAGATGACATTTAACAGTAACAAATATATAAATATTTGGTGTGGTGCTGTGGATTAATGTGCTGGACTGCAAAGCCATTTGAATCATAAGATCAGTGATTCAAGCTCACCAGTCACTCCTTGGAAACCCAATACAGGATTGCTATGGGTCGGAACCAATTCATGGCACTGAACAACAATATATATAAATATGTTGTTGTTGTTGTGAAGTACTGTCGAGTTGGTTCTGACCCATAGCAACCCTGTATAGGGTTTTAGAGGAGAAGCTGGTGAGCTTGAACTACCGACCTTGCAGTTCAAATGGCTTTGCAATCAGGCGCATTAACCCACAGCGTCACACCAGGACCCCGTGTATATGAACATAAATAAATATATATATATATATATGCCTTGCCTTGTTGTGCCGTGGAGTCGATTCCGACTCATTACGGCCCTGTACAGGGTTTCCGAGGCTATAAATCTTTACGGGAACAGAAAGCCTCATCTTTCTCCCGCGGAACAGCTGGTAGTTTCGAACTGCTGACCTTGCGGTTCACAGCCCTATTCGTAACCACTGCACTACCAGAGCGTGCACGCTCGGAAACCCTGTACAGGGTTGCTATGGGTCAGAACCGACTCAATGGCAAACAACAACAACAAATATATATATATACACACACACACACACACACACACACACACACACACATACAGAGAGAGAGAGAGGTGGTTTATCATAGAAATGACTCATTGACTCAGCTATAGAGGTGGTCAAGTCCAAAGTCCATGGGTCAGGCTACAGGCTTCTGATTCAGCATACCGTTGGACTGATAAACTAAGACTGGCAGATCAGATGGCAAGCAGGCAAGCAGGTCCAGCAGGAAAGAAGGCAGGCTGCTGACAATTCCTAGGATTGGCAGGTAATAGAGCCAACTACTAGCTCAAGTAAAAGAACCAGAGGTCTGAGGAGGAGACAGATGCAAGATCCAGAACCATCAGAGAGCAAGCAAGTCTTGTCTGAGTGTCCTATCTATTGGAAGCAGCCCACACTCCTGAAGAAGCTTCCCTTCCATTGATTAATTGTTTATAGCAGACCTCATCATAGAACTGATTACATTATATAGATCTCATTATGGAGGATAATTACATCTCAACTGCCAAACCACTGGGAAGCCTGGCCCAGTAAAGCTGACACAAAACCTTAACTATTATAAAATCTGAAAGAAATCTCTAAAGTAAGATCTCAATCCACTGGACTGAGGAGTGGCTTATATCACAGGGTCTCAACCTAGGCAATTTTGCCCACAAGGGAACATTTGACAATGTCTAGAAACATTTTTTGTTATTTTACTGTGGAGTAATTGGGGAGATTGCTATTGGCATCTAGTTGGTAGAAACCATTCATGCTGCTACGCACTCTACAACACAGAACAAGAGAGCTCCACAACAAAAATTGTTGTTGTTGTTGTTATTAGGTGCCATTGAGTCAGTACAACTCATAGCGACCTTATGCACAGCAGAAGGAAACACTGCCCAATTCTGGGCCAACCTCACTACTGTTGCCACACTTGAGTCCATCGATGGTGCCACTTGGCCAATCCATCTCATAGGGGGTCTTCCTCTTTTTCTCTGACCCCTCCACCTTACCAAACGTGATATCCTTCTCCAGCGACTGGTCCCTTCTGACAATATGTCCGAAGTATGAGAGACAAAGTTTGACCATCTTGGCCTCCAAGGAACACTCTGGCTTCACTTTTTCCAAAATGGATCTATTGGTTCTTTTGGCAGCCCATGCACTTTAAATATTCTACTCCAATACCATAACTCAAAGGCATCAATCCTTCTATGGTCTTCCTTATTCACTGTCCAGCTTTCACATGCATATGAGGTGATTGAAAATACCATGGCTTGGGCCAAACACACCTTAGTCCTCAAGCTGACATCTTTGCTCTTCAACACTTTAAAAGGTCTTGTGCAGCAGATTTGCCTAATGCAATATGTCATTTGATTTCTTGACTGCTGCTTCCATGAGTGTTGATAGTTGATCTAAGAAGGATGAAGTCCTTGACAGTTTCAATCTTTTCTCTGTTGATAAGAATGTTGTTTATTGGTCCAATGGTGAGGATTTTTGTTTTCTTTACATTTTATCCAGTCCAAAATGTCAATAGTGCCCAAGTTGATAAACCTGCTTTAGTTCAAGACACAAATGTAATACAAATAGATACCTTTTACTTTACAAAATCTGGATCTTCTGTCAATGTGATTTTTTTTTTAAATCTATATTTAGAAGAAATTCAGTCTGATTTTTTAAGTGAAAACAAAAGTTAAATCAATGATTAATTACATCTTAATAAAACTTATTTTCTTAAAAGAATCATTAGATTACTATTGAAATTTCTAAATTTTGTCTTGAGGATAATTATGAAATCACATGATGACGGGCTTCTTAAGAAGTATTCATCCTTGGGAGGTCCTTTAAGAAAGGAAGCAAGGTGAGGCATTCCAAGGAGATCAACTTCCAAAGGTTGTGGTCTCATCCCAAGGCTGTGGTCTCATCCCAAATTCTAAGATGTAATGAACTATATAATTCAGCCATAACTGCTAAGGTGTATGTCTGACTGCAAACCTCCAATTCTTATTCTTTTTATACTCTATGAAGCAATATATTTTTAACAAAAGTAGAGGGTGATAGAAATGATTCTCTTTAACTGAAGGAGATTCATAACTCATAACAAACTATAAGAGTTTACCCAGGGAAGCCTAGCTCCATTCAACCTGAACCAATTAGTGTTTGTTGAGTCCAGCTGCGTTCCCAGCACTGTCCTCAGAAACTGTAAGCTAAGTGGCGAGATGAGACAAGCCCATCTGACAAATTTAGGGTGGGGCAGT